AAGTCAGAATAATATGTGTTTCTTACTAAGATAAGCAGTGAGCTCAATTCTCACCTCTCCCTACAATGCTCTCTTTAATCATATGGTATTAAAGCCACACTCACAGATTTGCATGTATTCACACTTTTCTAAATTACCATTTTGAACACTGCGAAGTCTCTCCTTCAAAACTGAAGTAAAACAGGAAAAAAAAATAAAGAAGTTCTTTTTATTTTTTTTTTAATTAAATGAGGTTCTTGGTAGCAATTCAAATTATAGCTGCCTAGAACTGACAGAGATAGTCATTTTTCTTTGAGAGAGTTACACTCAGGTTGCTGTCTGTGCCATCTGAAAGCCCAGAAGCCATTTGACAGACTCTTTGTCAAAACAGTGGCACAATTCCTTACCTCACACCCTATGAATTAGGGGTGTTTCATAGACTGTGCACAAAGGAGGATGTGCCGCTCAGGACAGTGAGAACAAATATTTTCTTAGCATCTTACTGACATGCGAAAGTGAGAGGGGACTCTGCAAGCTTTACTGACCAAGGGTGGAACAGAGAAGCCCCACCCAGGGTAGTGTCGCTTCAAAGGCACTGGAAAGCTGATTATTTAACTTATTTGGTATTCTGCACAAACTTTTCCATGGTTATTCAATTTATTACATAACACAGATGTTTCAGAAAATGAAAAGAAAAAAGTCTGACACCTCTTTGGGGGCATGACTAATGGGCCATTATGACAGCAATTAACGAGCAGCCACTGACAGCCGAAAGAGCTACCACTACTGTGCCTTTCTTAGGTTTATTGTTAATTACATCAAATTTAAGTCTCTAATGAATTTCAATTAAACCAAAATAGGGCATCGGACAAAAGACAATTTTGGTGGAGAATGACTTGCTAACAATGCCCTTTCTTAAACACATTATTATATACTGAGTGTCCAGGCTCAATGTTGCCTGTTGGACTCTGCATGTCCCTAAAATCATTTTCATATCAGCACACCCAACCAAAGAACTGTAAAGTAAGAGGAAACTCTCTAATGCCCACAATTTAACCTGCAGAAAAAGCTGACATCCATTTCAGGTAAATATTAGCAGCAATCCCATCTATAAAACTTTCAGGAGTAATTTTAAAGTAGAAACTGTATCTGAACTTTCCTTTAGCTTGGAGACTGGGATAGAGATACCAGTTGCTCAACAGATAGTTCCTAAAAAAAAGAACTAAGTCTCAAGGTCATGGGGCACGAACGTTGAAGTTTCCAGGTTTGCTTCTATCAAAGGGTATTGTTATTGGGTAACCACAACAGTAGATTTTTGCTGTGCATGATTTACCTTAAAAGCTTAACTTTTTCTCTGACAGTAAAAGTGGAAAATCCCATGAAATAGAACCAACAGCTTTAAAGAAAAAAAAAATGATTCTATGCTTTATCATTTTGGAACACAAGCAAAGTAAAAAGACAGAAACATCTGTTACAACCTGCCCTTCAGCAAAAGCCCCAAGTCCCAGAAATTCCTCACTAAATCTGTACCTTTAGATCCAAGGTTTGACAATATATTAAAGAACGAAAGAAATGTTCTATAGCTGTGTTCTGTTCTGTACATACACTCAGCTAAATCCAATGACCCTCAAACTGAGGTTCCAGACAGGAGGTTGTTGGAATATTGAATGTTCTTCAACTATGTTTTAATTGAATTAAGTTTATAAGACTTGTTCTTAAGAAGGGAGGCATTTTTAATAAGGATCACAAAATACTGTTGTCCATACACTCACTGGAAAGCTTTGCACACAGATGTCCTGCTCAGCAGGAGCACACTACATCACATCTGTATGTAAATGTAGAAATGCCCCTAACCCAGAAGTAGAAAGGTTGAGTGTGTGTGTGTTTTACTAGTGAGACCCCTCTGGGACACAGGGATTGCAGAATGTCACTTTAGGAACTCCAGGCCTTGTCCTAATGACAAGTTATTTAAGAACAAGAAAAAGTGTGTCAGACATCACTGCAAATAATTCTTGCGAGGACACGGTATGTAGAAGCCAGGTATCGTGGCCGTCCTTGTATCGTGGCCGTCCGTGCTGGCAATCCAGCCAGCAGTGGAGGTCAATAATGAGGTTCAAGGGCTACTGCACAGAACACATAGATCCGTGGCTACAAGCTTTAACTCTCATTCTCAGGAGGGAAGCAAGTAAAGGTCTCTGAAAGATCAGTGTCTTCTCAGGAAGAACTGTCCTGAATAAGCACTCCAGGAGGCTTCTTGCAGATGACCTACAGCACCATCCAGTTAGAACAATCTCATGCTCTCCTGCTTTCCTTCACAGCATCTAACAGAACACCGAGTATTGGATCACCACCAACATGCAGGATTCTAAGATCAGTGATCCATAGTCTAGATGGTAAATGCGTATACGTGGAAGTATTTACAATATAACCGGGGAAAAGCTCATAGAAGTCATACAAATTGAGCCAGAATACTTATTAAAACATTTTTTCATGAGAAGATATCAAAATTAATACTGAAATAAAAACTTTGCCCATTTTTCCTTAGTCTCCGACAATCAGTTTAGGGTAACAGTACTCACTCACTGATGGTGTAAGTATAATTTAATGGGTCTCTTATTTCAACTTCGTGAATACCTTTGAAACGGTTACTTTTTAAAACTTTACTTAATAAGTTACTAATTTATTGGTACTTTCTCATACAACTTCTGCTAATTTCCCCCTGACCCTGTTTGCAACGCTCGATCGTGTATGCACTTCCTCAATTTCTGAAAGTAAAACTGAGAAGTAAGCATTAAAAGGAGAACAGCAAAGGCTAATAATTTATATTACTGGACATATCTACATAGAAGGTCACTAACATCAATATGAAAACGTATGCAAGGCATCTGGGAACTGATTAGCAGCGGGAAAGAGGAAGTGCGGACACCCTTTGGAGAATGTTTGGTAATAAACAGAAAAGTCGTGGTGATGAGAAGGCAGAGCATTAACAATATGTAAGAAGCTGGAAATGATCTCATGCCCTTGTACACAACAGACTGAAACAAAGCTTTACAGAAAGTGGAAAAAAAATTATCAGGTGTCCTGTAAGAACTATATAGAATACACACACTGTTTCTCGTTTTATACTCAGGCATAATTTTAAAAACTCACCTACAAGTGGGCTACAATGTAACTGGCATTTGTAAAGTGCACTAAACAGTAGTTTTCAACCACCTACCCACCTACCTCCCCATAGCAAGCACAGCAGTAGGTCAAACACACGTCATAATGTATAACACAGCTATAGCACATGTTTGAGGACTGGAGCCCAGAGAGAACCAGCTGGAACACACAGCCCCGAAAGAGGCAGAGAGGGCTCAGTGTACACTAGCCTAATTTATGCATTCCATTTGAAAATAAATAAATAAACAAACAAATAAATAAAGCCTTTATTTTCTATCAGGAACACGTGAGAACCATTATGATTAGACTGCTTGCTTAGTGTGGGTAAGGACACAACTTGGCTCCTTCTTGATTCAATACTTGTCCTGTGATTCTGAATGGGTGTCGGGTGAAGTAGCTCTAAATACTCCTTCACAGGCAGTCAGTGGGGAGGTGAAAAGTCAACAGCACTTTGTACCAGTTCATCAGAAATGCGCCAAGGTGCAGCTGGATAGAGCTGAGTTCCACCGGCATGTCGAAACTGATCACAAGGCACTTTGGAGAAGGCCTTGCTAAGAGTACAGAATCACTGCTGCTAGCATAACCAGCAATCGAGTGCCCATCTCCTGGGAGTGATTCTTGTTCATGCCACATCAAGTCCCTCCATTCCTCCAGCAACTGCCTGCGCTGTGCAGATTCAACATCAAAATGAACAGGTTGCAAGAGAAGAGGGCAAGGATATCAAGAAAACGTAAGGCAACATATAAACCAAAAGCACATTGAAGGAGACAGGAATAGAGATGCGGACAAATTTTCTGAGGTGACAATGACCCCTGTGAGCTCACAGAGGGCCATGGAAACCTGAATCAACTGTATTTCAATTCTCGCTCTTCCTCTTTTTCTTTCCTATGTCTAAAGTCTCTTCAGGGAGGGCAGGTCCCTTTTAAAGACTATGAGATTGTGACAATTCATGTGCCAATCCAAGAGTTCGACTGGTGACATCGCCCTCTGAGGCAGTTTGTGTCTTTTCATGAACTCGCTGGGCCATCTTCCCTCACATCAGAAGTTCAAGGTTGGAAAGAGCAGGCCAAAGAGTGACAGGGCCAAGGTTTAAAAATTAAATGTTTTGCTTTTCAAATGACATCAACATATTGCTAGTTTTCATAGTGCTTCATTAAATAGCAAACTGAAAGATAGCTTGATCAAAATAGTCTCTCAAATAGTTAAAACTGGAATTCTGTTAAAAGACCCATTTTAAATCCCCAACTTTTGCAACAGTTAAAGATCTACAAAAGAGTCATCAGGGAAAAAGTTTTTTTGGTGGCCTTATTCTAAAACATTAAATCATTTTGTATTTAGTGACTGCCTAACCATGAACAAGAAGGAAGCTAGTCTTTGAAAGTTTCTCAGAATTGGAAATTGCCTGTTTGGGTAGAAACTGCTTCCGACACATGTTTCTCTGACTTAACAGTTTTGGTCTCACAAAGCAACTATCATGGACACATGTGAGGCACGAACTGTATCTCAAGAGAAAAGAAATTTGATTGACAGCGGCATCATAAGATTTATCTAGTGTAGTTCACTGTGCTCCAAAATCTTTCCATGAGCACAATCTGAGGCAGGCCAAATTAATATTTGTGTCATCATGAAACTAATGGGGTGACAGAAGCAAAACCACTTACAACCAACAGAAACTTAAGTTACACACGTGAAAAAAATATAAAACGGCAAAAATATCAATTCATATATATATATATTAATATTTTAGATAAAACAGTTCTAAGTATTACTTCCTGAATCAAAAGATGTAGAACCCGGAGAGGGAAGTGCGAGTGGGGTACAGAGAAGTGCCCCTGCTGCCGCAGAAAACTTGACTGTACCTGCCACGCAGTAAGGCACGAGGTGCACATCAGATGTCCACAAGGCTCAATCTTGACGTCTTTGTCGTTCTCTGCACAGATCTTACAGAGCTGAAAGGTGGAGCCCATTTCACAATACAGTTCATACTGTTCCTGGAATACAGGGGAAGGGGGCCGATGTTAATGGCTTTCTAGCATAAAGTGTTAATATCGAATTTCCTCAAGTACAATGACTTACAGTAAGTTTCCCACACTTGAACTTGTCAGAATTATGTTACCATTTAAGGACATGTTTTAAGTTGATAGTCACAATTTGGTCTATAAAATCAATTTTTAAGACATCTGAGATCTTGGTATCAATTTTATGAATGTTTCCTTTTTTAAATACTCTGGGTTATTTAATGTTTTATTCCATTACTTTAAGAACAGACTTGCTTCAACAGCCACAGGGACTCCAAAGACAATATCTACAGTTTTAGAATGGCAATATGAATGACTTGGTCTTTTTTGTTTTCTTTTTTCTTTTTGTAAATGTCACACACTCATTTCACTGCACTGTCTCATTGGAAAAGTGCTGTATGGACATTACATTTTATTTCTTAGACATCTTGGGATGAAAGAACAGCAGTCTTTGTCACTGTGCAGGCTGCCACACTTGCTAGAGCCCACGAGACCAAGCATAGCAGGAAGGGAAGAGAAGCAAGTTGAGTCACAGTGCATTTCAGTTCTTTGCCTCAAATTCAAGAGTAAATCCCCAAATCCAAAGTAAATGGAAAGTAATTATCTTCCCAACTCAAAACTGGCTGAGTCAAATTTAGAATGTTTGGAACTCTGCCTCAGTGAACAAATACTGACAAATTGTGTTTGATAAAGAAAAGACAGCCTCGTAAATGTAAAATAGAAATGCATATTCAAGAGTGGTTTATGAGAGCTGCGAAGAAAAGAAAATGAAAGTTTGTGAAAATAAGTCATGTTTTAGTGAAGTAAAAGCCTATGAAATCCCAACACATGAGTAGAATAAATAAATGTACATGTTTATCCTGTGACTACTAAAAACATCGTAATGTTCAATTTGTGCATAGATACACACACATACATAAGTGCATGCATAGATACATATAAATCTCATCCATTCTGATATTTGTCGGGTACATGATACTTAGTAAACTAAAGACAAGAGCAAGAAAACAAAACAATGGAAAGTAATTATTACCAAAATAATTCAAAATAAGTTAGAAATGGTTGAGAATTCTGAACTAGTAGAAAAACACTGAGACTGTCCAAGTTAGTCTGCAGTTATAATATGCTGAACTCATAGGTAAGGAATTTATTGCATTTCAAGGGGGTAAGATGACTTTATGCGAAACTTAAGGGATCATGCTACTCTTGAAAATTTATGTATAGTTTCATTGATTTGTTTTTGTAGTACTGGGGTTCAAAATAAAAAGCTCGAACGTGTTAGGAAGGTGTTATGCCAAATGAGGTACATCCTCAGCCCAAGCTTCATTTTTAAAAAATGAACTCAGAAAGAAGAACAATTTCTCATTAGCATATTATACATATTAGAAAATACAATGTAAAACTGCTACATAATGCTAAGGATGGTAGTATTATGTTACATTTTAAATGCCTTCCACAAAGTGTACATATACATGATGTGTATCTCTCACATCTCAGCATACCAAGCCTATGTGTACTGAAACCAATAAACACTTTCTTACAGCTTTTGAACTTTACTGTTTCTCAAAGTATGAACATATTTAAATCATGGAACATTATAAAAACAGACACAGCAAGACCATGTTCAAGTCCCGCTTCATGCTCTCTTCAACTCCTCAACAATTCCTCAGTTAAACACGTCTCTGGTTTGGCAACTTTGGGAACACATACTCATATATTCTTATATGGCAGATTGTTTTTTAAAAGTGGCTTTACACGATGTAAGTTTGAAAGGTGAAACACTATACACTAAAGTTCAGAATCAATGGAGATTTGTACAGGACGAGAGGCAGAAGTTCCCAGTGAACATCCAAGGCTCCTGCCCTTCTGTTGTTCACTTTGCACAACCACTGTGAGCAGCTATGGGTGATTTCATCCACTACTGAATGTTTTAGTATTTTGTGTTCTGTTGCTTTGTGGGAAATGGTACAGTGGGCACCCTGGTGTGCAGATCCTCCTGTGCACAGGAAAGTGGTGACACATGGTGTTTATTGCCAAAAGATGTTTTCATTTAGAGTTTTGTCTTTACTGAAAAGTACATTAAGAGTTTTCCAAGTTCTCACTCGGAGTCCATGAGACTGTGAAACTGGATTTGTAAAATTGTAAGTATAATTTTCAGTGAATTCTTTAGTCCTCATTTCACTTTAAAAACCTTAATACAAAACTGATCACTTCTTATCCTTTTTTGTTTTAATTCAGGTTTTCTCCTTACATCTATGCAGCTACATCTGGTTTATCTATCTCTAGATAAGTACCAATATTAGATAAGCAAGCATTATCATTAACAACAAAATTTTTATCTAACATAGATCATAAAATTTCTTTGAATTCTCAGAATTCCTGACAATATCATGTTAAATATTTGAATGTGCTTTTGAGTACTGTAGGTAGAAGTTCAGATTTATTTCAGAGGTAGTATAGTTATGTATTAATTAAATTTTCAAAAGTATTCTTACCTGTGTAACTTTTATATGATCATGAGGTGTAGGTTCACATAATCCGGTTAAATCAGGGTTATAACTTCGTCCATCAGGATAAAGATAACTGAATTTAAATAAAAATTTTATTATTTTAAACATGTAAGTTTTTACTGCAATTAAGTCTACTCAGGTTCTTCTATATTTAGACTCATGTTTTTATTTGTACTTTTTTGTAAATTACCCATATATTCTTGCACTGTTTTCATCACAAAAAATGCATAATATAAACTCATCTATTCTATAATCATTTTCAAATAAAAATCTGTTAGTATATATTCCTCATAAAGATAAAAAGTTAATTCTGTGGTGAGCTATATCCCATTCTAAAAGCACCTGAATATATTTCTACTTGCAGATTATTATATACTTTATTGAAAGCATCATAACTGTATCATTAATGTCATGAGTCACATGGAGAGAAAAAACAGAATTAAGCCATAACTATGTTCTAGATAATCAAGCTCTTCCATGGTGGCCTTTTCCACAGTCTCTCAGTCTTTCTCTCAGAATCTTTCCACTCCTGCTAATATGCACACATGTGCATAATGCCCAGATGTGCACACTATAAAATATGCATATGTATGTTATAAAACCTGGAAAATATGATAATCCCATATTTCATGGACTCCAATAAAGTTGCACACACAGGCTTGCAGATACAGGCTTTCTTCTCAGAATAGAACACTGAGCAAAAGTTATAATAAGGGATCTTCTTGCAGTGTTCAAAATACTGCTTAACCATTATTCAAAAATAGACTGAATATCAAGTTTATTGTCAGTAATGTCATTTTTACTAAAATATGACTGTCATGTTATTGCTGGTATAAGTAGTTCAATAAAAGTGATTAAAATCTATGATTAGTCCTGTTGAACAGTTTTCTATATTACAGAGCTTAATACAAATTTAAAAATACATAGTAGTGACTATTTTAATGAACAAGTCTACAAAATATTTTTGATGACATAATAAAAACATTCATTTTCAAATGAAGTATCTAGACACATTAGAGTAATCAATACTGGAATCATGCTAGACAAACACACAACTAGAATTACAGGACTGAATATTCTTACACAGTAATAGATCAGTTACAGCTTTCTTTGACTTAGGAAGGAAAGGGAATAGACTCATCAGAACAGGATACAAACTTAGTGTTACCATGGGGCAACTGAATCTTACAAATATTAAACTAGGAATAACAAGCAAAAGTGGTTACCTTTCTTCACATATCATGAAATGGCTATTAAAACTAATGTTATGCAATACTGAAATCATCAAACTACATACAAATTCTAGGAAGAGGTCCATGTTGGAAAATTACAGAAACGAAAATGAAGATCCAGAGGAAGCTTACAAGGTTCTACTTAACCCATCAAGTAGCATCTCAGTGATTTGGTTCTCAGCACAGCCAGAAGGCTACATAAGCTACTGACTATGTCAGTGAGGAAAAATGGCATCTTGGCCATTATCAGCATACAGCTGTCATCTATGTCATACAGTACTGGTTCAGCTGTAAGAGAAAAACATCCAGCTTTGATGATAATTAGACCAGATGCTATCCTTTGGTGTAAGAAAATCCTCCCAAATTAATATTATGTTTACTTTATCCGAGGCTACTGTGGGAGTTAGATTCAACCTGCCAATTGGTTTGAGGATACATCTGAGTGCATATGCATTTGTGTGTGTGTGTTTGTATACATATTAAAAGTTAATTTTCTAAGGAGTTCAAGGGGTTTGTTATCCTTCAGGAAAAATTCCTAGTTGTTACTGGATCATTTCTTTTTGTTTGGCTTTAAAAAAAATAGAAGCACAAAATATAAGCAAAGAACAAAACAAAAACCAGTAACAAATGAACAAAACAAAAACCACTCACACTAGTCTATGCATAGTTTTGCCACCTTATACTTGTTTTAGGTTTTAAAAAGCCTATATCATGGTAAATCAAAAGGTTCACATAGTAATGTTTAATGTACTAGAAGTAAAGCATAAAAGAAGAGCAAATTTACGATGATCTGAAGATCAAGAAAAGTGCATATGTGTTACTACAACCTGCCTTACATTTCCCATATAACTGCTTTCTTGAAGCTGTGTATCCGTAAAAATAACAGTAATGCATTCTTGATGGGACAGGAAGATGCATCCTGTAATTGGAGAACTAAAGAGGTTGAGGCAGGTAGATGGAGAGTTAAAGGCCAGCTTGGGCTGCACAGTGAGTGTAAAGGACAGGATGGAAAACACACTGAGGACCAGTCTCAACTAGCCAAATAGAAAACACTAAGAGTAACAAAAGAATTGATTTTCTTCACATAGTTAACATCTCCTTCTTCCTTTTATTTTTGAGAACCGTCGTCTTCTCCCTTCCTTTCTCCCCCTGTTCATTTTTGTGGTTTAGTAACTACTGTAGAAAAGGTAGCACTGAAACCATCTGCTCTCTACTAATTCTGGTGGACTACCTCGGCCAGCCTTCCACCACAGCCTTCCCCAACCCTTCCTACACCCTGGGTCACAGGAATCTGGGGTCCTGCACAAGGGGAAGAGAGAAAGAAAGGGGCAGAGAGGGGTGGTGGTCTAAGAATACAAGAGGAGAAAGACAACAGGAGATGATTCAAATTCCTAAAAACCGGGTGTACCGACCAGGACGGCCTGACACGTTGTCCACACTATGGGGCTGGGAACATTCTTGGAGGAAAACTTAGTTATAATAAAAATTTAATAAACAACAGCTTGGCATGAACTGAGTTTAGCTATTAACATGTGAGTCTGAAATTTGGGTTCATTATTAAGGTGAATAAAAAGACATACATATAAAAAGGGAAGTGAACAGGTAGAAGATTAAAAAGGAGAAAAAAAATCTAGTACTCAGAACAAAAAGTAATGCACAATTTCATTTTACTTGAAATGACAGCAATGAATTACTCTAAAGTAGCAATACTACATGCACATATTTTAAAAGTACTTCTATGTTTCAGCATTTTTTTGATGCTGAAATGTATCTGCTCCATATAATTAGGGTGCCATAAAATGACGGCTTAGGCATGAGTAACAAGAACTAAGGGAGCTCTATTTCTTAGGCTTGCAGTAAACCGCAAACTATGAGCTCATTAGCCTCACTATCTGTTCCACGCCTAGGCAGAATCTGATTTCTGAATTGGCAAGTCAAATGAACTCTCTCATACTTACAAGCCTTCCCTGCTACCGTCAATCAGGGCTTGGAATAGGGGCTTGTTATGAGGTATGGTCTGGAGGATATTGCCGTCGCCAGTCACATAGCCAATGGCCCACTGTCCCAGCCGAGTGCAGCTTAACCGGAAAATGTAGCTATGAAACATAATAATAAAAAAAAAAAAAAGATTTTCACTCACACTCAAAAGGCATGCAAACCACTAAACAATTAGTTAATCTTTTGTCTTGAGCAGACCCGTTTAGAATTCCTGATAGAAATTTCTACCCTTTTCCTCAATTTAACTTCACTGTGCCTCACTGTTATCAATTTGTGAAAGAAATACTGATAATAATTCATGTTCATTTAAGTATCTCCAGAGTTCTATTGAAAGTAAATGAGGCTGGAAACTACCAAGAGATTTATTACCACTGTCCTTAGGGATGTGTGGGAACGTGGCTGCTATGATGCAGCTGAGACATAAATCATCGTTGGAGAAGGATAAAATGAGGCAAATAGCTAAATAATTAATTTATCCACCACAGAAACTAACCCAGGAATTCAATATATTTCTTTACCATTCAGGCATTAAAATTTGGTCACAGACTTATTTAATGTTTTCTTGCAAGCATTCTATGTGACTCATCTTTAAACAAATCTCCAAAGAGCTGAACTATATCAATTACAAACTTAATATATTCATAGCTGCTACCCAACCTGCCAATCAAATTTTTTTTTCCATAGGCAGCCAATGTAATTTAAACACTGGTCATTCAAATGAGTGATCAATCTCTTAAATTAATTTCCAATAAAAGGGAATACTGACATGGCTTTAAATTTATCATCATATATTTATTCATTTCAGTACATTATCCCTCTTTAAAGGAGGGTATGCCACTCAATCTTGCAATTATATCAGTATCTGGACTGTACAGGCAGTCAATCAATCAGAGCAAAAATAAGTTATCTTAAGCCCACTGGATAATTAAGTTGTTACATGAATGCATAAAATAAGGGGGAAAGGGTAAGAAAAGTTTTTCATATTTTAACTATTGATAAATAGAGTGCACTGAAAAACTTCCTAAGCTATAGTTTAGCATACAGGATGGTTTGTCACTAAATTTAGTAGTCCAATGACATTTCATTTATCAAGGAAACTGGGCTTTAAAGAAAGGAGGAATTGTTGCAAGAGCCATTCAATAGGGTATTTTCAAATTAGTCTAAACAGATTCCCCTAAGAGATTCTAAAAATAAAGTATTGACTTTTAAATTATTGATATTATTAATCAGAGTAAAAAAACATTTCTACTCATTTCAGACTAATGGTTATATTAGGAAAACTGTTTTCAAACAATATACAGTAATTAATTATCATCTGGAAGGTCCCCTTGTTACATAAGAAATGTATATAAGGAGCAGGAGAAGTAACTCAGCAATTAAGGACATTTGCTGTTCTTGCAAAGAACTGGGTTTGGTTCTCAGCACACACACCAAGTGGTTTCACACCACCTATATTCCAGTCCCAGGATATGTGGTGCCCTCTCTGGCCTCTAGGGGTACCTGCATGCACATGGTGAATAAATACATACACTCAGTAAATAAATCTTTTCAAAATATCTTCCTCAAAAATTTAAACAATACTTCCAAATAAAGAATAAAATGTAGAAATCTCAGAGATTGTGGGGACTATGTATTTGAGAAAACATGTAGAATTTGATATTAAACTGAAAAACACCATTGCAAAATTGAATGGTTAATATTGTAAAGTAATTACATAATTATGCATCGTGCATATCTGTAAAATTGTCAGGTTTTAGTAAACATCTTTTCTTTTTCTCTGCACTGTCTTAGGATGGTGTTTTTAAAATTAGTCATTATAGAGGTTCAAGCCCTCCATACAAAGTTTGCTGTTATTAATAATTTGTGAGAGCCACATATGGCTATTAAGAATGATTTGTTCCTCAAAGGTAAATTTTTGCTTCCATTCCATGTGCTCAACAGCTTTAAATCATTTGCTGTTGACCCCTCTCTGTGTAGCTAGTCCTGCCTCCCTTAGAAAGAAGTAAATTCTCTCTTTCAGCTTTAGTACCTTACTCTCTAAAACGGCATGATTAACATAATCAGATAAACCTGTTTCATTTGCACAGGGTGGCTCATGATTAAAAGTCATTCTTGAGCCTCAAAGTCATTCAAGAGATTAACTCCTTAGATTCTCGGTTCTTTGGAGGGGTGCTGAGAACCAAACACAGGACCTTATGCATGCTGGGTGAACGTTCTTTCAAGGTAGGTAGCTAATGTTTGATTGGTTGAGACCCAGGTAAAGTACTACCAAAGGCACTCAAATGTCCTTGGAGTGGACTTCAATGTTTCATTTACTGTGAAGCCAGAGAACACATATTTTCTAAGAGAAAGGGCCGGTTAGAGAGCTATTTCACAAAGCAAGTAACCATCTGTTCATACAGACCTTTTCTAACCAGATCTCAAATATCCAAATCCCACCTCACATACTATAATTACTATCCATGGATTATTATGGGGAGTGAACCTTGAATGAAGCAAAATGATTCATCTAAACTTAGAGTGATACACAAATTACCTGATACGGCTTGGGATCAGAATGGTTACCTCCCTAGGATCTACAGGGAAGGCTTCAATAGGACCCAACTGGTTTTGTACCATAACTCCTTTGAATATGACATGCTAAATATTTAAAGTATGAGCATTTTCATTATCAGAGAAGGAAATGAAACTCTTGGCTCTGACTTAAGGAGACTGTATTAAAGGCCAAACAAGCACAACTGCTGTGTCAATTTAAGCCGATCTTAGTAGAAAAGAGAGACTTAAAGAATATTCTCCAATAAATTGGAACAACCTAATGGTACAGTGACAAACTACTAAAATGTAAAGACTTCGAGGACAGGTCTCTAATGCCACTGACATTGTACCCAGGACTTTGTCTGCTGTGACTTAGATGTCATTACTGGAAGGCCGACTGTATGCCTAACACCTATCTAGATGCCACACATGGGAACAGACACTGAGCCAGGGAAAGATGGATTTCTAGTGTTTTATTTGCCATAGTGAGGGGTGATTTCTTGACCAATGCCAGAAGAGCTGACTAAATACCTAGACCTCTGACAGTCACTTGGATTAGTCACCTGAAAAGCAAAACATGAATAGATACTACCTGAAACTACTCAAAGCTATCCCAAAATCATGCACAGAAAACTAATTTTCTACTAAATTAGTACTTACTACTTAATTTTGTCTTCAACACAATATTTGAATGTTCAATATACACACATACGTTTAAACTGGAACACTGTGAACATAACAGAACTAATATGAAAACATCCCACACCGATTTGAGAGGGAGAATCAAGCATTACATAATCTTTAAATTTATTAACATCACTTTCTACTTCATGACAATGTTAAAAGTCAATATATCAATTTAAAGACTCAATCAAAATGCACCCTTTCAGTCTATCAGCTTTCCCATCCCACCTTGGCCTTTGAGGCTCTGGCCAGTTTTCCTCAGAGTGAACCGCAGGGAGCTTTCTCTTTAAGTGTAACATCTAGTACTACTGCTGGAGTCTTACCTTCCAGGCTTGGTGCTATATTTCTGTAGACGCGCTTTAACTTCATCGTACGTGAGAAATGCCATGTAGCCTGGATGTGTCACAGCCAAGAAATTCCAATTCCGTAAAATAGAGCCCCAAGGCTAAACAGAGAAATCAATGGAAAGAGATTACCCAAAAAATACACACCAATGACATTGTTTCACACGCTTAGAGAAAATAAAGTCTCCTCCATATTTTTAAGTTAATATGGCCTATGAGCTTTAGGTCAATCTTTGTTAACAAACAGCAAACAGGCAATAGCTTGTTTTGTTTTACAGAAATGTGTTGAAACAAAAACCATGTTTCTTAGGAATACAATAGAGAGGTGAAAATGAAAACCAAGTGTATATCTCCATAGAGAATTTATGATCACTACAACACGGAATATGTGACCAACTGGTCTTAGGGTTTGATCCCCAGTTGCTTTCTGTACTTACTGCTGTCACTTTGACTTCTCTGTAGCCCACTAGTGGCCTTCTCTACTAGTTTTAAATATAAAATCCTCTCCAACCTTAGAGCCTTTGAATTTGCTGAATCTCAGTCTCACCTGAATATCCAGCCCTTCCTCAATGAGGCCTATTAGACCCTCCTACTTGGAGCTGTTATCTTGACACAGTCCTCATCTTTCCCATCTGTTGTGTCCATTGCTGCTTCTTGCTCAGATGCCTCATATAACAGCAAACCATGTTACTAAAGTTAAATGTTCTGGAAAAGGTTACATAATAACCACAAGCCATGTAAGGCCAAGGAGCATTCCTGTGCGGCTCGGCTCGGGCCTGGATCCCAGCTACATAGTAATCAGGCTGTGATAATTACATATATACAGGGTTGCTTTAGAGGGGGTGGTTCAAGGTAACAGGCTCGGTCCTTATACTTGCTTTATCCAAGCTCTGTTATGGACCTGGGAAAGGTTTAGGCTTCAAAAACAAGCTCAGCGAGAAGAAAACTTTTCACAAAAACATGTGTTTCATATCAATCTCTCCTAATCTAATTAGGTGTCTCTCCAGGTATCATGGCATGAGAAAAGAGGCAGGGAGTAACAGGCAGCTTTGCTGCAGGGTGTGGATGAATCATCCCTGCAATACTTTCAAGACTGGAGCTACATTTCTTCCAAAGAATTGGCAGCATACTCCATCTGTTCTGCCAGATTCTTCACTCAAATCATCTATGTGATGAAAAAAAAAAAAGTAGGTGTTTCAAGTCACCAACTTCAAGCTGCTGAAACTGGCATCCCAGACTTGATGACTGTAGGAGAGTTCAGGCTGTCATTTGTTCTGAAACTTGTTCTTGTTCTTCATTGTAAAGCGAGTTTCAAATATATAAGGCAGAATGCTGCAAGGACCATGTGTCCCTTACAATGAGGATAACAAGAAGGAATGATTTTGTACTCAAGAGCTTTTAGCCTTTTTGACTTAACAAGAAAGGTCTTTGGGGAATTTCCTCATCACACTGACACATCTAATTGGGTTAGAGAGGAGGCCGGAGACACTAGCAACACAGACGTCAGCTTTGCACTTGAAAAACTCGAGCATGTTTTTAATTTTCTTCTTAAGGCTTGACTGAAATTGCATAAAACAATTCTTGGAAAAAAAATATCAGCACATGTCAAAAAGGCAATGGAGAAATTACTGCCGTGCTAGACGTTTTGGTTTTCATTTTATTGTTTTGCTCCACCATCCAAGAAGGACAAGGCAAAAGGGAATATCAAACAAACACTGGAGCTGCTTCCATTAATGTCCACATACATTCTGGAAATAGGTTGTCTGAATCCAAAACTTTAAAGAGAAGCAATTAACAGATCAAAATACAACTAAAGACCAAGATGAAATTGAAGGTTAAAGCTGTCCCCAGAGATATTAAGCCCGAGGGACAACTTCTTATTGCAAAAATATTTATGTGATAGATAGTCTGTGCAGTTGTGAACACAACCCATCCGGCACAGCCAAAAGCCCCTGCACCCTGGCTTAAAGAAAAACAAATACTTTTGAGAAAATAAATCTTTAGCTAATTATTTTTATAACTCATTTGTCTAGGATTTAAGGAAATCTTTTTCCTCACAAAGTTACTGGGAGGCTATTAAACAGAATCTACTGAGGTGAATTCAAGAGATGAACAACTTATGTTGGAGGAGCAGCTGCAGCTGTTCTAATCTATCTGAGAAACCTTCCTCTCTGGAAACCTTGCTAGCACTGATGGCTTCCTTCTCTTAGACACTTCTCTATTCTGTTACGGCTTGATGTTCCCCGTGACTAGAATGCTCTCCCAAATATTCCTTCCTTATTCTGCCACCCCGCCCCCACAGACACACTAACAGAGTGTTCTGTATTTCAATGACCCAGGCTTTTCCAGCAGTAGAGGAAATGGGCAGAGAAGCCACGCTGCAGTTCTGGGAAAGGACTGGGAGGAAAGATGCAGGTATTCATTGCCTGACTCAAGTATCGTCCTGTCCCAGCCTCTCTCATTGACCTGAAGAGAAAAAATTCAGGGCACAGGTCGGAGAAAGAAGAGGAAGTGGAAGAGGACCACACAGCACAGCCACTTCCTTCCCAGGTTCACCAGCATTTGCTGAAGTTCCATGTGGACTTCAGGAGGAGGGCTGGGAAGAAGAAAAGGTCTGTTAGTCCTGTCATTCCTGTAGCCCTCTCCCCTCAGCGCTAGGCTTCTCTTCACTGCCTCCTGAACAGCCATGCTGCTCTCTCTACTTCAGACCTCAAACCCTAATGACAAGGAAAACACTAAGCCCCCAGTAATACAGGACTGTAAGAATTATGTACTAAAGAACCACCATTATCAAGTTATAATAAAACAGATGCTTATGCACTTACAGCACTAAAAAACATATTTTTACAAAGGCTGTAGAAATACAAAGTTTTGAAAATAGTGAATTTAAGAAAATTATCACTTAACTTTTAATTGTATGTAAAGATAAAGGTCAGTAAAAATTAAAATACCATAAAACCAATTTCCTCATCTTTGAAGCCACACGTGATGAGTATGGTTGAAGTATTTAAATGGTGAGTACAGAAACCAGAGGTAATGAGGAATCTCAGAAATTAGAGGATTAATCCGATTTGGTGAGTCACTACCACAATTAACTGTTTTGAAACAATTACCAAGAACCTGCCCAGGTGAAAGGTCTGCAGAACAATCCTTTTGTACACGTGATGATGTTTTGGCTCTCATTGATTTAATAAAGAGCAAACTGGCTAACAGCTAGGGAGAAAGAGGTTAGGTGGGCGAGCCAGACAGAGAGAATGCTGGGAAGGAGGAGGGGGGAGTTGCCAGCTAGACACAGAGGAAGCAGCTAGACACAGGGATAAACATGCCTCGCTGAAAAAAGGTACTGACATGTGGTAGAGCGCAGATAAGAAATATGTGTTAATTTAAGTTGTAAGAGCTAGTTAGTAACAAGCCCAAGTCATCGGCTGAGCATTTATAATTAGTGATGTCTCTGTGTAGTTATTTGGGAGCTGGCTGGAGGGACAAAAACCCTGCCTACAGCTGTCACATTACCTATGCTTTCCCTTTCTCACAGCACAGTGAATACACACAAGATAAGCAAACCTCAGAATATGAAGGCTAGTTGTCTATCTCTTAGTTACATATAAGACAATGTATGCACATAGCAAACAGCAGTGTGGGTAGAGTGGGTAAGCATATAAGCAAAATGAAGCTGCCTACATACCTTTAATATATAACTGAGGTATTAGAGTTCTTGATATCCACTGTAAAAAGTCACCCACAATTCTTTCTCTGTCTCTGTCTGTCTGTCTCTGTCTCTGTCTCTGTCTCACACACACACACACCCTAAATAACTACAACCATATATGAAAACAGACTCTTAAGTTGTGTTAGGTTTAACTGTAAAAATTACATAAGCTTTCTTCATCACAAGGTGAAGAATCAAAACTCTGACCATGTAGAATCCTCGATTTCCATTAACACTGAAGCCTTTGTTCTGCAAAATGATCAGAAATCTTTAACAGGAGCGAATTATGTTGTAAATGATTAGTATTGGGTAACATAATGCTTTTCTGAAAGCCTTATTATGATCGTTTAAAATTACAGGCTTTAATTACATTATTAAATAATTTAAAAAGAGACTCAGAATATGTAAACAACAAGAAAATAACCATTACACAACTAGAAATTTAAAATGAGCAAACACATACTTTCTACCATATCTTATCAAATTTCTTACCCCATATACTATGTAGAGCTATTATTTTTAAATTTGATAAAGTAAAATCTATGCTAACTGTGTTGTTGGCTGGAGTCTGTTGGTCTTCTTATAATAAGTTATGTTAAGTTCATCCCATGAAGTGCTTTTTGGTTAAAGGAATCAGTCATCTAGACTATGCAGCTAACACTAAAGTCGCAAATCATACAGCATGGGAAACATGCAGCCAGTGTCACACTCTTAACATTTTATCTACTAATATCACAATCAGAACATATCAATGTCCAGATTGAAATTATACTTTCAGAACACAAATAAGCTTGGTGTCTAGTCAATCTTACCACATTTACTATAATTATTACAACTAGAACTGTAAAGATATTAAAAGGATGATTTCATTTTGTAAGTGCTTGAATTGATTCTCATAGATAATATACACTTCAGTGACAAAGCGAAACTCAAAACACAAATTTCAATTTTTTGCATTTAGAGAAATTCCATTTGGATATATATAAAAAGAAAAAAAATGATTGTTTCAGTATTATGCCACTTGCTTTTGAGTATCTATGTAAAAATATTTATGAATGCTGAAAAATGAAAAGCAATAAATAACACAGTTATCACTGGACAAAGCAGAAAGAAAAACAAATTTTTGATAAGAATTTTATAAATTAATATCATACAAAGTTGTGACAGAATATTATATAGACAGTAAAAAATATATAGATGAAGAATATCTGTTGTCATGAAAAAATATTTCTTACAACTTGTTGAAAGGGAGGGGAGCAACTTGTAAAGTGGTGTAAGACCACAGTACCCTATAGGTAGATCAGTGACCTATTTCTAGCTTTACTGTTTATCTTCTGATCCAAAAAATGCCATTGCCAAATAGATGGGATGCAACTCTGGCTGACACCCACTTGTAACGGTTTCAAACTATCAGCCATTGGGTTTAAAGATGAACAAAGTGGAAAGTTAAAAAGGGAGTTTAAAGCAATTCCTTTCCCAGAATCACTAATACTAGCAAGCAACCTACAGGATCACACGACCTGATTTACCAAGCTTGTACCATAGGACTCACTCTAAACTTGGAGGATTGACCACTGGCTACAAGACTAACAGTGTTGTCCCTATGTTTCTGTATATTGCATGCAGGTGACAAAAAGACACATACACAGAGCTCTGGAGGAAGGGAGGGAAGGAGGGGATAGATAGATTAAGTAAGTGTATATCTTACCTGAAACAGCCTGGTAAAAATATCAAATTCAAAAACTGAGATGTAGTCGTTGCATGTTAAATCAATGGTTGATTTTAGAGCCATTGCTTCCAGGCCAGAGCTAATCTGATGGACCTCATGCAGGCACTGTCTGAAGACTTTCCATGGTACAATGGTTCTGTGCAAGGGGAAAAGATGAGTCAATGAATCAAGTGTCAATGAAGAGATATCTTCCACTGGAAAAGAAAAAAGTAAACCATAACATTAATAGTATTATATTTGAGCCAGATGGTGGTGGTACATGCCTTTAATCCAAGCAATAGGAAGGTCGAGGCAGGAGGATCTCTGTGAGTTCGAGGCCAGTCTGGTCTACAAAGGGAGTTCCAGAACAGACAGGCCTGTTACACTTGTTACACTGTTCACACAGAAATAGTATTGTATTTGTATTAGAATAGTTGAAAATATTGTTCATAATTCAGGCTCCATGTAATGTGTTCACTTGATTATTATGCATTTGCTAAGCATCTAACAAGAATCTTATTTTTTCATTCAGTCATTGGATATCAAGATATATCTCAAAGCTTATCATATAGAGGGCATTAAGGTCAAAGTGTCAGGCATCATGATCTTTTTGTTTGTATACTCAAGGCAGTTTAACTAGGGATCAATCACCTACCACCTCTCTGAAGCTTTTTGCAGAGATGAAAATCACATGTTCTCTGACCTTTCGTATGAATACAACTTGAAAGCTTCTTTTATAAATGTAACCATCTTGTAGGAATTTGTTTATTCAAGATCTACCAATTAATATATTTTATTATATATCATATAGCAACAGTTTCAATAAGTAATGCACTGACATGCTTCAGAACTTTAGGGACCACTGAATGGATTCAGAAAAGGCCTGTCTCTCATTCCTCAAACTTAGCAATTTCCAGCACTCGCCCACCCTCCTTTCCACCATGAAAATCTATAACATCCATCATCTGTTCCTTAGCAACCTTTCCTCCCTTTACAATGCCAAATTCCTATTCATGAATAGATGGAAGGAAGAAACTATTCATATTTTAAACATTTATATTTCAGTCTTCAAAACAGGACACAAGAGCTATATGCATGCTCCAGAAAGATAGTGCATAATTAAACCTTGGGTTTTTCTTTACTATTGTCTCTAGAGAAAATAAGCAGAAATGAGCTAAAATTTCCCTGGCCTCGCTCAATGCCAATTTTTTCAATGAAGATCGCATACAGTTACAACTTGAATATTCTGAATTATTATCATTTCTACAGCAGTCAAACAGCAGCACAGATTAAGTCATTTAAAAGGCTTATTGTCACAGAGAATCAGGAACCTAAGTTATTCTGTGGCTCCTGGTTGGGGCCCAAGAGTGAACAGTTTGGTGAGTTCCTAATTGGTGTTGACTCTGCCAGTCTCTCCAAGCCACTGGTGAGCCATATCTACCTAAATGGCAATGCTGTCGGAGGCACTTAACTATGGAAGGACCTCATACCACCTTTGGCCTTGAGGAACATGCACTTTGGCAGGCAGGGTTTGCAATGCTAAGGGACACAGGTGGAGAAAACGGAAAACCCTGCCAACTGAACACTCAACAAGCACTGGAGGAATTACAGGAAAGTGTGTGGGAAGTAGCACAAAAGAAACGGCGAGCCAGGCCTACAAGACACTGAACCTGCAGGGAAGCTTAGGAGCTTAGGCCTGGTGCACCATTACAGAAGAAAGTTAAGATGCTTAATACCTCAAAAGACGTTTCTCTATGTATGAAAAAAAACAGGAAACCACAGAGAACTGAAGGGACACACCACATCAGACGCCATTTAAGAGAAACACACGTCAGACTCTGAGAAGGGTTCACAGAATGTTGAAGTCTTCAGAGAACAAGAAAAGTTCTAGTAGTATTAGGAAGCTCTTGATTTATAGAGAAGTGTACAGATGCATTTAGGCCAGCGGGGTTACAGTGACCGCGAAGGCGTTCCCTAAGAGGCATGCATTCCTTTTCCCAAGTAAAGTTCCAGTACTTACTGGACACAAAGAACAAAACTCATACATAATATGCACAGGGGAAAATGCTAATTTCAGAATAATACAGGTAGAACTTTTTTTTCTGGAAAAGCACAATGTTACTTTACTTCAAAAGCATAAATTGAAAATAAACTGGCTGAATGGCAAAGTTCAGTCTTTTGTGTGTAAAAGTATAAAAGTCAAAACAAAATGGCTCTGATAAACATTCTAATATGTTATCCTAAAATTATCACCATCCAATACTTAAAATCCATGTAGATTATAACTTATTTTGACTGTCTCATGATTTTCCAAAGAAAAAAATAAACAAAATATAGCTACTTTTAAGATTTTGTGTAACATACAACTGCAGAGTAATAATTTTCAACATAAAAAGACACATTTTCATAGTACTTGTGCAATGAGATTTGATCATAATTCATTTATGATACACCCTAAAGCCCCAAGTACATATTCATTAGAACCTTAATTAAAGCTGGTAAAGAAGGCTGAAAAACCAGAGCATTATTTGGCTAGTTTATCACACAGAATCATTACTGTAAGTATTCCTCCACTTCTGTGGGCTCAGCAGAGACCAAGTGTAGGGGTGGGAGGAGGAGTGGGGAAAAGCAGACTGGCCTCCTGGGTGTGGGAGCCCGTTTTCAGGTTCCTCGTGGCTTTACCCAGCAGGTCTGCATAGAGGATGATTAGGACCACGGGCCTGAGTGCAGGTGTCTGAGATGCTCTGCACTTGGCTGTGCTGGGGGGAGGTCTTTTGCTCCACCCCTTGGTATTTTTATAAATACCCTAGAGCCGAGACAGTCAGGGCCCCATGGCATAGGTTCCAGGCCCTCTCAAGGCTATCCTGTATTTTCTATCTGTTTATCTCCACAATCTAAATCCTTCTATCTAATATTTCCTACTATTCTTTTTTTTTTTTTTTTTTTTTTTTTTTTTTTTTTTTTTTTTTTTTTTTTTTTTTTTTTTTTTTGGTTTTTCGAGACAGGGTTTCTCTGTGTAGCTTTGCGCCTTTCCTGGATCTCGCGCTGTAGACCAGGCTGGCCTCGAACTCACAGAGATCCGCCTGCCTCTGCCTCCCGAGTGCTGGGATTAAAGGCGTGCGCCACCACCGCCCGGCCCTACTATTCTTACTCAAGAGCACTCTGGGGAAAGGTTGGGGTGGTGGATAGTGCCCCCACACATGAGGGACGAACAGAAGTAGAGTACAAAGATGTCTTTAAAAGCAAGAAAAGAATACCGTATTTTCAAATTCTTGCTCCCTGGGTTTCTTCACAAAGATGAGCATCAAAGGCCACAAGATGAAGCCAGAGGGGGAATATATTGATGGCAAGATGTTTCACTGATATGTGCAAGCTTGTGTGTCTGGGCAATGACCAGAGGCAAAGAGAGAGAAGAGAAGCAAAGGAACAGAGTGCCAACTTGAGCTTCAGTATCTCACAAAACTAGAAAGTTTAATCTGCTCTATTTGCCACTTTTCATTCATTATAAATCATTATAAATATTAGCTGCAGGCATAATACCATAAAAATATACTGGAAAAATTATTTTCATTTTATTGCATGTATGAATTTCTGTGTGTGTGTGTGTGTGTCTCTGGAGGTGGGGTGGGAGGTCTGAGGACAAACTGCCAGAATTGGTTCTCTCCTTCCACAATATTGGTCATGGGGATTAAACTTGAGTAATCAGGTTTGGCATTAAGTGCCATCTTACCAGACCCAACACAAGTGATGTTCAATATACAAGACAAGCAGAAAGACCAGTGGGAATCCAGACAACTGCCCCCATGACCTCAGAATCTTTAGACTCTCAGTAAGGACTGTAATTCAGTCACAGCTTACTATTGCTCACCTGCAATACAGAAATCTCTTAAGGACTTACAAAAGGGGGAAAATTGTTTCATATAATGCCCTAAGAGAAAACAACACAGTAAATAAGGCCGTGTATCACTCAGTTATTAGATACCATATCTTAATCTGTATACCAAAAAGTAAATATTATTTGAGAAAGAATAAGGAAACGAGATCAATTAGAGACCAGAGGACAAAACGGACACAGGGGGTCAGAGGGTCAGCAATCAAGAGATGACTCAGTCATGTAGGTTGTCACCTGTGTGAAAGAGGAAGCATGTGTCAGTCTAATGGAAAGCCTTGACATTTTAAGATATGAAAGATGGACATTAGCAAATCAATACAAAAAAAAGGAAGGTAAAACATTTTCATGAAACGTCCAGTTCATACAAGGCTATGTGTTTTATGTGCAAAAGTTGGGGGGGGGGTCACATAATAAAGGTTTGACTATGAACAAGGACAGTGGTGTCTGGGAACAGGAAATAGAATCCACATGTGGTAAGAGGAGAATTTATACAGCATTTCTAGAGGGCAAACTGGTAACAAGGTTCAAAGTCTCTGCACTGTGAGAGTCTACTTCCATGAGATTCTGTCTAAGAAACATAGGACTAAAAAAGCCCTTGGGGTGTAGTGGAAAGCCTCACCTACCTGCCTCCCAAACCAAAAGCAAATAAATTCATGCTTAATGACAGAAAGACTATATTACAGCAACTGGGATTGCATGGAAAGATATTTACCACGTAAATGTGTTCATGGCATGTTATTAAATAAACTAGTTTTTATTTAACTACTGGCATTAAGGGTACAATGTTAAACATTTCCATCATTTCTAGAAAGAGCATTACAAATCTGGACTAGAATCTAAAACTCTAAAATGCTGCATGACACAGGGGTATGTGAAAATATGAAGCACATGGGAGCGGGGAGCTAACAGGAGAAGAACAAGGTCAATGCACATGGACAGAGTCAGAAATAGCAAAGTCCTAAGGAGATATAACCTTCCAGTAGGCTGACAGACTCAGTATTATAAGGTTGTCACTTCTCCTTAAATTGATCTATAGATTTAATATAACCTCAGTCAAAACCCCCAGGAGGCATTGCTGCAGCAGAAACAAACAGATTCTAAACCTCACAGCAAAATGCCAATAACCAAGATTAAATAAAACAATCTTCAAAGGAACACAAACAAGCTGATATCCTTCACATTAACACAGTGGCCATAAGATATGGATAGACAAACACCGACAGACAAAATTTTAGAAGCAAAAAAAAATACACAGAAGCTTGCTA